TGTTGTCTGTACCAAGTCAGGATATGACAATTGTTTTCCATTTGTAATGTTGTCTGTACCAAGTCAGGATATGACAATTGTTTTCCATTTGTAATGTTGTCTGTACCAAGTCAGGATATGACAATTGTTTTCCATTTGTAATGTTGGTTGATATAGTGGAGTGTTTGAATTTGTCAGGTTTACTGGACTTCCCCCTTTTAAGTTTACCTTGGTGTTCGGTATTTTTTTAATATATATATTTTGACCTTGTTCGATTAGACAGATTTTGTAAGTTCTTAATTTTGAATCCCCTATGTTATAACTGCATATTTGTTATTCGTGCACTCTTGAAAATAAAATAATGTTTTTACTAGCAATGTTTATGCTTTTTAGTGTTTTAAAAAAAAATAATTATGATTCACTGTCATCAATAAGGAAAATTTCACATCTTATAATGTACATGTTTTCTTATTACAACAGGAATACATGTTGACACCATTACAATTTGGGATACCAAACTCAAGACTGAGGTACTACATGATTGCCAAAAGACTTCCAGTTAATCCAAATTATTTATGGTCAAATACTGAACAGGTTCTTACTTTTATTTTGCATCTTAATCACTTAAAGTATGATGAGTGTCAAAATGTAAGCAATAGATAATTCATTTTTAAAAATTAAATAGTACAATTAACAATGCAATTCTTTTCTATGTATTCCTTTTGATATGTGCATCTACAGACAGTAATTCCTACTTTTCTGTTCATTATTTATTTTAAAGCAATAGAGATATTTTACACAATTTTCAGTTACAATTGGATCTTTCTGAACTACATCTGTTTAACATACCATTTATGCTAACCCACAATATTGATTAACATGGAATAGCCCTTACAGAATTACATATTTTTTTCATCAAAAATAGATATTTCAGCTGACAAAAGGTAATAAATATAAAAATAGCTTATGAGACACTATCATAACTATAGTAACAAACACAAGTTGACGTTCGAAAATACATTTGTGTCTTAGAATTTCTTGTATGTATAACAAAGGTAGAATCTTTTTGTAGAAAATTGATGGCCCTGAAAAGTTCCGTTTATAAAAGATATTATCGGCACTAGATGCATGTCCAAAGCCTTGTTTCCTCGTCACTCAATGGACTTCTTGTAATGTGAACGTTGCCATTTTGTTTACTTACGCCTGTGACATCATTTTCATGCGAGATAACTCATGGTGAATAATAGGGTTATTCACTGCTGGTGTAAATTTTAAGGGTTATCCGTCCTTCCTTGCAATTAAATGAAAATTAACTGAATTATTCTATGTCACGTGATAACGTGTTACCCAATTGAATTGTTTATAATATATGTAAGATATAATAATAGGTAATAAATATAAAAATGGCTAATGAGACACTATCATTAAAACAGATATCCAATACATAATATTGGTTTTTTATGGCAGATTTCCTGAGGAAATGTTTTTTTATTTTGACTGACAATTTTGTTTTTTTCCATCACAGAGTTGCAAGACACTTTGAACATTTTGATTTTTTACAGATATAAATATGGGGTGAATGTCCATGTGACAGCAATATACCTGCCAGTAAATATGTCTACTCCAATGAAAACTTTATTTATTTATACTGCAAACAAGGATATTTTCTAGGGAAGTTTATTTTTGCCAATTTCAATGCATAAACGAGTTGAGTGGTGTAAAATTTGCATGTTGAATGATAAGTGCTCCCTTCTAATCAGTATGGTTGAATTTTACATACCATTCACACAAGGAATATTTTCAGGCATTTTTGTGATTAAGAAACAAACGAAAATATCAGACACAATAATTTCAATGAACAAATTGTATGATATTTTATAATTTTCATTTATTTTTATACATGTTTTACAGCTTTGTTACTCAGTACCTAGTGTTGTGCAACCTTACTTAAGGTACAAAATACTTTGTGACACAGAAAAGAGATGCTACCATACTGACAAAGGAGCGAATCCTGACACGATCTCAATGCTCACCAGCAAAAAAGAAGAAACAAATAGTCTATCACAGAGCTCAGACTGTGAAAATATGTCAGAATCCAAATTAGATGAATGTACTGGGTGTTCTAAAAATATATGTGAAGAGGAAGACTGGATGTTTGTCAGTCATAATGATGGAGAAGGTGATAGCTCGAAAACAAATGAGGACCAAGTGTTGGCTAAAAGATTAAAAACCAAACATTCATGTGATACAGAAGAAGAAAAACATTCAAATGAAGATGATTTGAAACAATTGTGTTGCATGTGTGACAATGAAAACAGATTAATGGATGAGAGTCAGTTGTTGAGACAGGATGATGAAACAGAGGTTTATCATGGTAAATGTCTACAACTGCAGCATTTTCTGGAGAAACAGTCGGCAGAATACTTTAACAAATACAAATTACCTGACAAAGATCTGAAGAGGTTTATTGTAATGGATGTTGTGTTTCCATGTATAAGGAAAACTATCTGCTTTACCAAAAGGTAATATGATTCAATGTATATAAAAAGATGTAAGGTAGCAACACAACAATACTACAAATCCAAAAAGGAGCTTATAATACTTAATAGTTATCAAGCCTTAACTAATTTTGCAAAGGATTATTTCTTTTAATCAAACTCAATAGGCAGGGGCCTGTAAGTCAGTTCTTGATATTTTGGTGGGAGGCCTGTGTTACTTTTGAAAGAGGAAGAAGTCTGCTTGCAAGCTATAGCTATATGTGAACTGCATCTCTGAAGTACTGACAGAAATAGTTCAATAAATATAAACCAATCTCCCTTTCATAATCGATGGATAGAAAAAGTTGAGAGGGTTGTGGTACAAGTTTTGAATTAAAAATTTTTTTTTATGATGAATTCATTGTCTTAATGTATGTCATTATCATACTTTTCAGCAATCAGATATACAAAACTGCAGGAAATTGTATTTTGGTTCATTGTGTACATATAATCAGACAAAAAAAGTGTGGGAAATCATATTCCCTTTTATGATGTTTAATGAAATAATGAAAAATCCGGAGAAAAAAGAAAAAAATGGAACCAATTTCTGCACAAATGAAAAATAAAATGGAAAAGATTTTGAATTTACTAGTACATTTTTTTGTACATGTATATTGATTTTCTGCTGTTGTGAGGACTTCATCCTGTATTCCTGTATACATGTATATATGACAGATATATTTTACACACATCTTGTAAAGTACTTACACTGTATGGATTTATATACACATTTTTAGAATATAAATTTTTCTCATCATATAACATAAAGCAGGTATTTAAAAATATGAGACTAACTGAGTAACTAATACAATGCAGCCATTGTAGGTTCAGGAAAATGTAGATGTATCTGTACAGTACTAAAAAATAAATTTTGAAGGTGAAAAAAACCTAGTGATTTTTCAAAGTGAATGCTTGTGAATGAATCAAACTGTATATTCAATAGATATTGTATGGCAGGCCATATTTCAGTGTGTTATTGCCATCAATCACACACAATTGTCCTGTTTCTCATTTTCTTCAAATTTACAGTTTTCGGAAAATACTTGTGCTTATGAAGAAGTATTTATATATGATGTAACACTTTTATATGGTATGGCAACGCAAAAGTATTTTTGGTATACAGTTTTGAGGAGAATATGAGGCAATGCCCCTGAAAGGTTCAGCCACATAGGAATTTTTACATTAATTATTATGGTGTTTATATATGTGTATGAAGAAGAAATTTTTGTTAGGCCGTTGTTAAACATAAAACATTTCTTTTTTTCCTACAAAGATCAAGCAAGCCCATTCATATTATAGGAAAGAGGTCTTATTAGTATTTTTCATCTGACACACTGGAATTTCTAGGGGGAACTCTTTATGTCAATGCAATAATAATGATTTCTGATTTCAGGTATGGTCACTATATGGAGGGAGCAGGATCAATTATCCAGATGTCTACAGAGGCTGAGGTAATCAAAAGTTCCCTGTTTAACCCTTTTAATTCAAATAATGCGTTATTTAACAATATACATGTAGGCAACATCAGTGTAACACAGAAAGCAATTTGAGCAAAGCTGATTATTATGTTGTTTTTAGGTAACAAGAAAATTATCACTTTGTTGTAATTCATTGTCATTCATAGGACTGGATTCAGGCAGCTGCTCACACATGAAACGCCACCCTAATGACCCTTAAAGTATATAAAAAATTGTTAAAACAATTAAGTCATGGTCTATTTGCATTGTTATTGTATGCCTTGCCTTCACTTGTTCATTTTAATGTGAACTTTTAAAATTATATGCAAACTATATGGTTCACCTGAACATAGAAATGTGGTCATTTGAAATTAGTACATTCTAAGGTTGTTTACCATCGAGCTCTAGTCACTAAGTACACATGTTTAATGTGAGTGGAACTTTTAAAATTATATGACAAATTACAATTTTGACCCAGATTTCAAGGTTCACTTAACATGGACATAGGATTGTGCAAGCAGGACATGGTTGCTATGAACACATATTCTTGTTCTAAATCAGAGTTATGACAATACAGTCAAGCGAATCTCTGATATCCAGTTTTCATCACTGAAGCATATGTTTAATGATTTAAAGTTGCTTTATACATTATACTTGTAATGGATTTTTAAAGGCAGTGCTTTAATGCCTTTCTAGTTGCCGGGTTAATCCTTCCTTCCGCGATATCCAACTTATCTACGTGGGGGGTCATTAGGCTCCAAGTAGATCCGGAAATGTTGAATTCTCTCCTCTTCTTATTGCGATATAAAATGTTTTTTGTTTCATTTCATTTACATTGGGAAATAGAGAAACGATCATTGTGTTTTGTTAGTTTTAAAAACTTTTGATATATTAGTATTTTGCATTATAAGCAGTCAACCGATTGACAAACTAGAATTATTTGAATTCCGTGTGGAAAGAGCTCGGGTTAATTTCGAGTGTTATCTGCAATCTAGATGTTTATAAATCATTTCAGTCGTTGATATAATAATGAAAGGTCGACTGAACATGAATTATATTATACAATTTAAAGCGCATTTCTGTTTATGCACGTGAACCTGTCTAACGTTATTGTAATTTCGCAGTTATATAAAGTAGCAAATTATCGTTCCTGAATAGGTGGCGCCGTGGTAGCGGATCCTGTTCCTCTACTTCCGGTTTCTGCACTGTGCAACTATTTCAGTTATATTTTTAATTAACGATGCCAAGTACTTGTTGTTGTGTACCTGGATGTCATTTAAGAGGAGGACATGCATTTCCAAATGACTTAAAAAGAAGGAAAAGTTGGATCAACGCTATGGCCCATACGCAGATTGGACGAGAACACGATGATATCGTGGAGTCCATCTCAATCAGCTGTTTTTTGCAAGGCACGTTTTACTGAAAAAGACTACGTGCAGGAAACTATTCATGGTAAAACTCTATTTTCTTTGTGAAATATATAGTTATATATGTAATCGCCATGCGAATAAACCAAAGCCTGTTTACAACCGCAATTATCGTTTTAGAATAAAAGGGGGTGGGTAATTCAAGACGTCATAATTTTTTGGATTACGTTTCAATGTGATCTGTTTGAGATTTTTTGGTGATTGCTACAATTATAATGATTTCTTACAAGAGGTATATCATACTGAGAATTATTTTAGCAGTAATTATGCTAATGTAGTAATGACAGGAATGCATAAGCTATGCCTCATAGACTTTCTTGAAAAATATCAATGACAATGTTAACAGGAACAAAACAATGACATGCTCTCATCTATATTATAGTTATTTAGGTACAAACAATGTACGTTTGTTGCATAAGTCTCTCATTGTTTGTCCTTTGGATTTACATAACATACATTGAATCAGGCAAACATAGTTTTATCCAGATTGTAATGAATAAATCTAGTTAATATTTCGCCAGGTAGTACAAAGTATACATTGCTAATGGAAGTTCATTTAATTATCAAAACACTAATGTTTTATAACCTTTTTCAGGGCGCAAACCCACCATACAGAGACTTAAGTCTACTGCCATTCCCAGCCTATTTTCCTGGACCAAGCAAGAGACTGAATCGTCCGCAAAAAGAAAAATCAGGGCAGTTTCCTGTAAAAACAAAAGAACTAAACTTGATGAATATTGTAGTAGAAATCTAGAGGAAAGTTTTGATTGTAAAGTTGGTTTTCCTGATGAAGTCATTCATACTGCAGAAAGGATTTATGACTGTCCACCACCAACTGCCGAGCTAATGTTGAGCTTCACAGATGGAATTACGCAAACACCATCAATACCTATGTTTTCAGCAGAGAATTTTGAAATGAAGACACGTGACACAGCCATGCATTTTTATACCGGTTTAGAGTTGTATACTAAATTTTTATTTGTTTTGACCACACTTGGTCCAGCAGCACATTGTTTGAGATACATATATTTTCAAATTGATAGGGTGTCAGTTGAAAATCAGTTTTTTTATGACTTTGATGAAATTGAGGCATCATACAACCAACTTTGAACTGCCTAGATTCTAGATTGAATCTAGTGTTAAGAACATTGTGTATACATGGATTGTTTTTATGTCTAAACAGTGGTGTGAGGCTAACACTTGGCCATCTAGTGGTTTAGTCAGGTATTTTTCACCATCCAACTTCAAATTAAAGTTTCCTACGACTTGGATTATTATTGACAGCACAGAATATCCCGTGATAAAACCTAAAGCTCCTAGAGCTCAGGCAACCTTTTCATCAAATAAAAACAGAAACACTGAAAATTCTTGAATGTTCGACACCTGGTGGTTTAGTCAACTATGTCTCTATGTCACATAGAGCGAATTATTGGACTTGGCAAAACATACAAAATTCTAATAAATCCTATGAATGGAACTGAAACAAAACTTTCATCTGAAATAACATTTAGTTGTTTTATGTTGTGTAATTTTAGAACTTGTATTGTGCCAAAGGATGCATAAATAAAAGTGACGCAATGAATTTTGTTCTGATATATATATATTTACAATTACATGCACATGTAAATTGTAATGCATATAAAAATAAGGAGATGTGGTATGATTTTCAGTGAGTTTATCAAACTAAAGTGCATAAGAAATGGGTTTAAGCAGTTACAGGTGTTACTGTCACCGTACAATCTCCAACAATGAGAAAAACTCGTACCCTGTAAAAAATTTCTGAGATCTTACATCTAAGTTTTGTTGTCTCACCTTGACTTTGGTGAATTTTTTATATTTGTTGATGTAAATATAAAAAAGAAGATGTGGTATGATTGCCAATGAGACAACTCTCCACACATGCACAAGAGACCAAATGACACAGAAATTAACAGCTATAGGTCACAGTACGGCCTTCAACAATGAGCAAAGCCCATACTGCACAGTCAGCTATAAAAGGCCCCGAAATGGCAATGTAAAACAATTCAAACAAGAAAACTAACGGCCTATTTTATGTAAAAAAAATGAACAAATATAACAAATATGCAACACATAAACAAACGACAACCACTGAATTACACTTTTACAGGCTCCTGACTTGGGACAGGCACAAACATGTACATACAGAATGTGGCGGGCTTAAACATGTTAGCGGGATCCCAACCCTCCCCCTAACCTGGGACAGTGGTGTAACAGTACAATATAAGAAAGAACTATAAAAATCAGTTGAAAGAGGCTAAACTCATCAGATGGATAAATACAAATACAAGTGGACGTGGTCGGGTAGTTGTACATCCTAACAACAAAAAGACACTAAGTACAGATCTGAGAGTACTCGCAGTTACTGACAGCTAGTTCAAAGCCACTAACAACTGATAAAAAAATCTTGCATCTAAGACTAAATTATCAATCCGTAAGCTCCCTTTAGAATTTTATAAATTTTAGATTTTACATTTCTGAGTTATGGGGTTTTATTCATTAAAAAAGGGGGGATTTTCCAGTTTTTGGACAACAACTCAAAAATGCTTTAAGCAGTTCACATGAAACTTTGGTGAATTATTTATAGCTATTGACGTAATCTCCCTATTGATTTTCATAAATTTCAAATATGACATTGAGAAGAAATTGAACTTTATTTGTTTATAGTGTGGCAACAGATTTATTAAGTATTGCGCAACAGCACAGTGTATTGCACAACAGCAAGAAATCTTTAATTGAATATAAATTCAATTCATATAACCGATTTCAAGTTCATTGACTACATTTATTCAGAAACTATAATATGTCAAATATTTAATTACAATCCAAATTCAGACCTGTATCAAGCTTGAATATTGTGTCCATTTTTGCCCCAGCTGTTCAGGGTTGGACCTCTGCGGGTGTATCCAGCTGCGCTCAGCGAATCAGTTTATTTCTTAATTAAGAACTCCTTTTTTCATTCATAAATTACTTTATGCTTGGAAATATAATTTTGCTTGGAGTTGAAAGAGTTGACATGTTGCAATGTACATTTACTCTACATAGTTCTATGGTACCAAATCAAAAGTTTATATAAAAGAAAGAAGTCAAAGATTTCCCATCATAGTTTAGTTACATACATTTTTTTTGTACCTGAGGTCGTTGAATATAGATCATTTTATAAATAAGGAGATGTGTTATGATTGCCAATGAAAAAACTAAGGATTTTCTTATCCAAGGAATAGATTACCTTAGCCGTATTTGGCACAACTTTTTGGAATTTTGGGTCCTCAATGCTCTTCAACTTTGTTCTTGTTTGGCTTTGTTACTATTTTGATCTGAACGTCACTGATGAGTCTTATGTAGACGAAACACACATCTGGCGTATTAAATTATAATCCTGGTACCTTTGATAACTAATTTGACTATAAACATAGATAAAAAAGGTACAAACTGGACATAATGCACTAGTTCATAAACAAGTGAGAACAATCGCCTTCATATAGTGCTCAGAATATGACATTCATAAAACTTGTTCAATATCATTAGAGAACTCTAAATCTTAAATACTGAAAGCCACCTCTGATAAGTACACTGTACTATGCAAGATAATGATATAAATGGACTTAAAATACACACAACCTGTAATTAACTGCCTTTACAGCGCTTTCGTGCTTTGATTGTAGGATGTTACTAGAGCATGTCAGTTGAAAATGGAGGCTGTAGAAAAGAAAAATAACAAGAATTGGGGAGAAAAAGAAATAGACATAGTGAGAAAATTACAACTGAGATACTTCTCACCAAGGGAGATTGCAAACCTTCTTTGTTTTCCAGAAACATTTGGTAAGTTTAGTTGTAGATCATTGAATGAAAAAATAAGGTTGTACAATATTTTAACCAAACTAGAGGGATTGAAGAATTGATTCAGTTTCGACAGGTTTTCAGTTTATAGAATACAACATATGAGCTGCGTCAGATAGAAATCAACCTTATGCAAGTGCACATATACATGTACATGTATAAGTCTTTGATTGATTTTGGAACATTTAGATACAAATTAAAAGATGAATTTTTGTCTGTTTGTAGGGTTCTTATAACAATTCAATTTTCAAACAGTTACAGACTTTCTGTAGAGATTTTTTTGTCAACCCAAAATAGATTAACAGATGTATTGATATTTATTTGCATAAGGTTGATTTCTATCAGATGCAGCATATATAATGACGTTAGTATAACAGGATTTATGAGCATATTGCCTATGAGACATGCACAAAAAGACGTCAGTATGAGGATCTAAACACCTTTCTCAGTACTCAGCAAGAAAGTATTGGTTCTTTACTTTTACCATTAGCCATGGAACAAAGAAGGAAAAATAAACAACAATTAACATATCAATTCACCAGAAATTTAATAAATAATTCATACAAGCCATAGATTTGTTGGAAATTTTCACATGGCCCATTTCAATTCTAATTGGACAAATTATACGATAATTTAAAAAACTGAAGAGAAGAAAAGTGTGCCATGTTTGTGGCTGTTCTATTTCACCCCATATAAGATGAAGCTAAAAATTTCCAATAAATCTATGGCTTGCATGAATTATTTCTTATATCCTCAAAATTCCCAATCCAAACATTTGTTTTTCTTTGGCTACTCTTTACTGTTAAATCGACAGTTGACATGTCGTAAGTAAATAGTGTGCTGCCATGTTGACCTGCTGAAATCAATAAATGTGCAAATAATGCAATAGAATAGAAAATTAAACTACACCTACCTCAAAACTTAATTTTGATGCAATATTATCCAAATTTGGAATATAAACAGGGACTAAACTTAAATCTTTTTCTCCAGGGGCCAGCTGGGCCCCAAAAATATTTTTTTCAGGGGCCCAGTTGAAATTTTAGGGGCCCAACCAATTTCTATACTAATAAAATAAAACTTATATGTACTTTTCAGTGTTCTCCCCAGGCCCTTAAAGGACCGCGGGCCTGCGATGTATAATTTTTTACTGTGGTGGTATCGTTCTTACCGCGATGTATAATTTTTCTCCGTGGTGCTAAAATTTTCTGGTAAAACAATCCTAAATCGGTAAAGTTTTAAACGACTTGTTAAATCTTTTCCGTGCGGTATAAAATTCCAGGTGAAATTTGACCAGTTCAAACCAGTTCAACACAGATTGTTTACACCACGTGATCGATTTACCTTATGAGGTTAACCTTGTTGATTGGATTTAATCGATGTAATTAACACTTGTAACATGATTCTTTTGTGTTTTAATTAAGAGTTCATAACTTTATGATCACAGATAACTATTTTATGGCTTCACTCTCCACCCAAGCACTGACCTGTGACAAGTCGGAAAATACTTTGTACACAAACAGTGTCTTGACCCGATACTGATAGGAACATTTTTTGTACATCATAATGGTGGCTCATTACGTATAATGGACAACTATACATTTCCCAATTCTTATATTATAGTATTATATGTCTCTGATTAAACCATGGCCAATATCATCTTTTGTTATGACATTGTTATTGCATGTAAGTCGGGTTTCAAACTGTCTGTACATATCACATGACCCAGTTAGTTCACATAGAATATTCAAGTTTATTTACAATTAATTGCAATCTATTATATTTTATAAATAAAATGCATGACTGTACCTTCAAACTGGATATCTATATCCATAATTAATGAATAACAGAAGTAAGCTTGCAAATTTTATCCATAAGCACATGTTAAATCTATTTATATCTACTTCCTCATTTAGGCGGGAAAATAGGGAGACTTAGTTGTTGACATTGAATATGGTTACTTATAGATCTATAGACCAAAGATAAATTTATAGATTTAGGAATTCTTTTTAAATGGTTCATGACAAATAAAGATTTAGATTTTAGGGCAGTATTAAGTCTGTATCTATGTTTGATTATCACCAAAGACAAGGAAGGTTAATATTTACATGAAATCTATGGCAAAATGTTCTAAAATTTATGAAAAATTTCTTTTTATTAAAATCTAAGATAGAAACTGGTTCAAATAATAAAACAATATTTGCAATTGTTCTTGTTAATTTCAAGTCTTCTTATGACAGGAATCCTTTCACATACAACAACTTTTTTCTAGAAACTAGAAAGTTTTTTAAATTGAACATTTTTGTTTTCTTTTGAATGATATTTTTATTATTATTGATTTTGGATTTTATAAAAGATTTAGTTACTTTAAACTCAGATGAATATTTTATTATGAATCATAATTTATTTATTTTAAAAAAATATTAAAGTATACAAACTGTTTTTTTTATTTACTTCTTTTTTACCAATAATTTTCTGAATCAATGTCTACATAACACAGTACCACAGTGTTATAAAACAAAACAAGAGACATAAAAACTACAGTAACTAGAGCTAAGCGACGCAACTGATTGCATGAAATATTTCACCAAGAAGTCCACACGCGTTACCCTGGTGCTATCCAAAAATCCTGGGGAGAACACTGCTTTTCATTTACTAATAAAGCCGTTTTAGGTAATCTATATGTAATGTTTGAGTCTGGTAAAGATTATGTGTGATAACTTTATAATACTTGAATTATTGCCACCAGAAATATATCATAAGATTTGACAAAACTGATTTTAGAACATTTCCCACCAAAATTGTCTCCCTTTAATTTGAACTTTCTGTTGACAATATGGCTGTTTCTATGAATCATTAAATGCTATTTAAATCCAAGCCATCGTTTAATAGTGTTGATCAAAAATATTATTCAAATACTATTTATCGAAAATTGGTTAGCATACTAGATATTTTGATATTGATTTACGAGATTTTGCGTTTCGT